GTGTTAGACTCCAGATCCAGAGTGACTAAATTCCTTATGAAATGGCTGAGCAAGCCACTGAGTTGTTTTCAAGACCAGATGGGGATAGCAAAGAAGTGCTGGCCTTACTACCAAAACCCTCATTCCATGAATGAATTAATAAACCATCAGCATCAGAAATTTGTGACATGTACACATCCAGTAGCTGTAAAATCATTTGTGTTCCTTCACAGCATGACATGTTTCATAACGGTTTTGTGTTCTCTGCTCAGATCCAGAAACCTGTTCGATCCAAGCATTGCGCTGTGTGCAACAGGTGCATCGCCAAGTTTGATCACCACTGTCCATGGGTTGGTAACTGTGTGGGTAAGACTCTTCATTTGTACCGATTTGAAAGCAACTCAGGCATTGTGGTCCAAACTGATACCACAGCTAAAAGGTTAAGCAGCAATAGAATGTACAGGACAGAATCTTGCCCTATCTGTGATACTGTTCCTCTGATCTGCCTGATATGTGTATCTGACTTTGCCTCAAATACGCTTAGAGTGTTCACTTCAACTACTCCATGAATTTCTCCTGAATTCCCTATTTTTTTTGTTCAGGACTATTGTGTTCATGACCACACCATAAGCAAAAAGCAGTGAATAGTGCAAATCTGAAGTAAAGCCAGAAAAGTGCTGTCCTACTTGCAAGGTTGGGGAGCACCTGGTGACACTGATGACCTTACATAAGGAATCCCTTCATTTAAATGTCTGCCTGGAACTCAACATTTTGTTAATAATTACCCGAACAAGCCCTTTCACAATTTTCAAAAACTCCACACTTTCAAGAGAAACCAACCACAAGGTATTTAGTCTTATCAGATCGTAGAAACAGAAGTAAGTGATTTACCTCTTTGAACCTGTTCTGTCACTCAGCAAGATCGAGGCTGGGTACCTGAAATCTAACACATGCCTTAGTCTCTTGTCTCAGTGCTTTTGAATTACAAAAATCCATGAATCTCAATTTAAAATTATAATTGACCTAGGAATATAGAAAATAGGAGCAGGAATAGGCCATTTGGCCCTTCAAGCCTGTGCCATTCATTATGGTCATGCCTGATCATCCAACTCGGCACCATGTGCCCACTTTTCCCGCATATCATTTGATTCCTTTAACCCCAAGTTCTATACCCAACTCCTTGAAATCATACAATGCTTTGGCCTTGACTGCTTTCTCTGGTAGCAAATCCCACAGGCTCACCACTATCTGGGTGAAGAAATTTCTCTTCATCTCAGTCCTAAATGGCTTACCCTATATTCCTAGATTGAGACTTCTGGTTCTGGACTCCCTGGTCATCAGGAACATCTTTACTGTCTTGTCCTGTTAGAATGTTATTGTTTTCTGTGAGAATCCACTCATTCTTCTGAACTCCAGTGAATATAATCCTAACCGATTCAACCTCTACTCATATATCCGATCTGCCATTTCAGGAATCAGTCTGGTAAACCGTCATTGCATTCCCTCTATAGCAAGAACATGCTTCCTCAATATGGAGATCAAAACCACACATAATGTTTCAGGTGTGGTCTCACCAAGGCCCTGTACAATTGCAGCAAGACCTCCTTGCTCCTGTACTTGAATCCTCTCACTATGAAGGTCAATGTACCATTTACCTTCTTCACCTTCTGCTGCAGCTGCATGCTTGCCTTCAGTGACTGGTGTACAAGGGCACCCAGGTGTCGTTATACATACCCCTCTCTCAATTTACAGCCATTCCGATAATAATCTGCATCCTTTTATTTTGCTACTAAAGTAGATAACCTCATATTTATCCACATTATACTGCATCTGCCATGCATATGTCCACTCACTCAACTTGTCCAAATCAGACTGAGCATCCTCCTCACAGCTCGAGTGTCATTTGCCATTAGCAGAAAAGAATTCCAAACTCACTGTGTGCGGTAGTGTTTCCTAATTTCATGCCTGAAAGTTCTGAAAGTAGTTTTCAGACTGTATCCTTAGTCCCAGACTTCCCAACCAATGGAAATAGTCTCCATCTTCAGTCAGTGTTTCCCTTAATATCTTGAAAACTTTGATTAAATCACTGTGGACCTTCTAGATTCCTGGGAATACAACCTTAGTTTTCTAATCTGTCCTTGGAGTGCACATATCTGTGGTAAATCTCCACAACCCTCCCTCAACGACTAATATCTCCTCAAGGATTACTGCTCAGAACTTCATTCATTGACTCCAAGTGTGGTCTAACTATGGCTTTGTATTGCTGAGGCATGATTTTCACCCTCTCATATTCAAGTGCTCTGGATCTAAAGGCCCACATTCCACTATTCTTCTCTCATTGCTGTCTTTTCCTGTTCATGATGTTTTAATGATCCATGTACCTAACACTCCAAGTTTCTGGCTTTTGTCCGTTTAGAAAGTACCCTTCATTTTTAGCTTACATCCTGCTAGTTAGAGTATCTGACCATCATGTCTAATCACTGCCCCTTCTTGCTCAGCTAATTTCTCAACCAGGTCAGTAATTTTTTTTCAAATGCATGAGCTTCAATTTCAGCTAATATTCTCTTGAGAAAGACATTATGAAATTCCTTCACAAAGTCTTACAAACTCTTAAGTTCTGGGACCATCTAAAATCATCTTGCCCTTTTTCAATACCTTTATATCCATTTTACAACATGGGGACCAGACTGTGTACAGTGTTTCAAAAGATGATTTTAAAAGATTACAGCAGAGGATATACAAATACAGTGAATTTATATAGAAACAGAAAATCATACTGAAATTTGAAAGCTACTGCTGGAGGTAGGAAGGGAGAAGAAGAAAATTTTCTTTAGATTTTCCAATCAAATCTAGATTTGAAAATCAAATGCCTGTGTTAATCTGGTTATTTCAAATGGGTTAGTGTCTATTTCTGCCTTTTAACTGAGTTAACAAGAATACAAGGAAGCAAAGTTAGAAGTGTTGCAAGTGAAGTAATGAATATTACCAATGAGGTAAAGGACAATGATGAACGAAGAAATGAACAAAAGCAGCATTAGAAGATGTTCCTTGAATGCTGGTATAATCACAGCAGATGAGATACAAATCATCAGTAAGAGATCAAAGCCAAAATGCTGGAGACACTCGGCTGAAGAGAAGAATGGACAACATTTCAGGTTAATGACATTGTACCTAAGTTGCAAGGAATTAGACAGGTTTTCAGCAAATGCAGGGAATCTGGGGCAATGAGCTAAAATATAAAGACCATAAGATATAGGCGCAGAATTAGACCATTCAGCCATTTGAGTCTGCCATTCTGTCATGGCTATTATGATTCTCAACCCATTCTCCTTTCTCCTCCCTCAATCTCCTTACCAATCAAGAACTGATCTATCTCTGTCTTAAATACATTCAATGACTTGGCCTCCACAGCCTTCTGTGGCAATGGGTTCCACAGATTCAGTAACCCCTGGCTAAGAAATTCTCCTCATCTCAATTCTAAAGAGACGTCCCTTCATTCTGAGGCTGTGCCCTCTGGTCCTAGTCTCTCCTACTAATAGAAACATCTTCTCCGTGTCCACCTGATCCATGTCTCTCAGTATTCTGTAGGTTTCAATCAGATACCCCTTCATCTGTCTAAACTTCATCGAGTACAGACCCAGAATCCTCAACCGCACCTCATAATGACAAGTCCTTCATGGCCGGAATCATTCTTGTAAACCTCTCCTGGACCCCCTCCAATGCCAACTCATCCTTCCTTAGATACAGGGCACAACACTGCTCACAAAATCTAAATGCAGTCTGATCAGGGCCTTATACCACCTCAGCAGTACATTCCTGCTCTTGTATTCTAGACTTCTTGAAATAAGTGCTAACATTGCATTTGCCTTCCTAACTGCCAACTGAACCTCCATGTTAACCTTAAGAGAATACTGAGCTAGGACTCCCAAGTCCCTTTGTGCTTCAGATTTCCAAAATCTTTCTCTGTTTAGAAAATAATCCACACCTCTTTTCTTCCTACCACAGTGCATAACCTTTCACTTTCCCACATTGTATTCCATCTGCCATTTCTTTGCACACTCCTCCTACAGCCTGTCTGCTTCCTCAACACTACCTGTCCCTCCACCTATCTTTGTATCATCTGCAAACTTAGCAACAATGCCCTCAGTTCCTTTGACCAGGTCATTAATGTATATCATGAATAATTGTGGTCCCAACACTGTCCCCTGCCGAATTCCACCAATCACCAGCCGCCATCCTGAAAAAGGCCCCTTTATCCTTACTCAGTGCCTTTTACCAGTCAGCCAATCCTCTGTCCATGCCAGTTCCTTGACCCCAACACCATGAGTTCTCAACATTTTTAGCACCCTCCTGTGTAGCACTTTGTCAAATGTCTTTTAGAAATCCAAATAGATCACATTCATTAGTTCTCCTTTGTCTAATTTGCTCAGTTCCTGCTCAAAGAATTCTAACAGTTTTGTCAAGTATGACCTCTCCTTCACAGATCCCTGCTGACACAGTCCTATTTTACCATGCACTTCCAAGTACTCCATAATGTCATCCTTAATAATGGACTCTAAAGTCTTATCAATGACCAAGGTCAGGCTAACCAGCCTATTGTTTCCTGTCTTCTGCCTCCCTCCCTTCTTAAACAGAGGTACTACATTAGCCATTTTCCACAGCTCTGGGACCCTGCCTGACCCCGGTGATTCCTGAAAGATCACCACCTTTGCCTCTACAAGCTCCTCAGCTATTTCTGGGGGGTAGTCAATCTAGCTTGGGTTACTCACACAACTTCAGACCTTTCAGCTTCCCCAGCACCCTCTCCTTAATGATGGCCACTGCACTCACCCCTGCACCCTGACTCTCCTGAAACTCTGGTATACTACTGATGTCTTCTGCTGTAAAAGCTGATACAAAATACGTAGTAACTTCCTCTGCCATTTCTTTATTCCCCATTAGTACTTCTCCAGCCTCACTTTTATCGGACAATGTCCACTCTTACCTCTCTCTTACCTTTTAGATAGCTTAAAAAAATCTCTTGCAATCTTCTTTTGTATTGCATAGAATCTTAGAATCTCTACAGAATGAAAAGAGGAATATTTCCAAATGGAAGCTTGTTGGACAAATGGCATGAGAGAATAATTTAGATATAGTGATAAATGTTTGTTGAATTGATTGTTTTATAAGTTTAATACTCTTTTGCACTGTTCTGAAAACCCTAAATTAACAGTTTTGTGCCTTTTTTTTGCATGTAAGGAGTGCATTAAGCCACCATGTCTGTACTGATTCTTTGAAAGAGCTGCCCAATTAAACTCTGTTGGTTTCTTTTACCCATAGAATTATTCCCACAGAATTTTTCTCACCTTACAAGTGTGGTTACAGTAGCATTATAGTGATGTTTCTTGAGTGATAATGGTGGGTCAGTCATGCAGAGATGAAACTTCAGAACTAAAATTGACAGTTTGTGAACTTAAATTCAGGCAGTTACATATAAATCTAGAATTAGAAGCAAATTTCATAAAACTAGCAGAATACTGTGAAAGCCCAGCTGGTTCACTTACGTTCTTTAGGTAAGGAAATCTGATGTCCTTAACTGGTCTGTCCTCTGTGTGACTTTGGACCCACAGGATCTTAATTGCCCTTTGAAATAGTGAAGTAAGCCTGTTTAGTGTTTCAAACTGCTGCAGATAGTAACGGGTACACTATGTGGCAACGACGCTGAAATTATTCAAGAAAACAGTCCGTTAGCATACTCTCAAAAGCAGTTCACGGTAGAGAATACACATCAACCCTATCAGCAGTGACCACATTTGTGAATGATTTTACAACACTACTGATTTTTCTGTTTTTATAATTGCATGTTTATCTTTTACTTAATGAAACAGCAATTTCTGAAGCTTGTCTCTTGGCTGGATTTATAATATTTTCTGTCTATTTCAGGAGCAGGGAACCACAGATACTTCATTGGATACCTGTTCTTCTTATTAGGCATGATCATTTGGATGATTTATGGCTGTTTCTTATGTAAGTAAAACATACCAATTCGAATGTGCATTGCTTCATATCGTTTATGCAAGATTTTTGTACTAGTTATCTTTTTCTCTTAGACTGGAACATCCACTGTGAGACTAACTATCCAAAAGATGGATTCTGGACATACATCACGGAAATTGCAAGCTGCTCTCCGTGGGTTTTCTGGATGTTTCTGAACAGCCTCTTTCACTTCCTGTGGGTTGCTGTGTTACTCATGTGTCAGATGTATCAGGTAAACAGGAAAATCTATTTTTGTTCCCTTCCCAAATTTCAGATAATTTAAAATTACAGCCATTGAACGTTGCCACTTTGACTTTCAGGCATTGTTTTGAATAGCTGCATTTACTCTAGTGTTCTCTGTGCTACTGATTTTCTTCCCACATCTGGACAAGACAATTCTCAACAAGGCAAACATTGGCTGTTCTTTCCTCCATCACTGGGTCAAAATCCTGGCATTCTAACATTCAGTGAACATTCCCACCACTCAAACTGCAATTGTTCAAGAAGGTGGATTCTAACCACCTTCTGAAGAGGCAGCTGGAGATGTGCAACAAATGACAATGGTGCCTATATCCCATCAATGCATTTTTGAAAATTGAGACATTAAGGAACATGAGTCTTGAATACTTTTGGACTAGGTCCCTGATAAGTGTGGCATAGTGGTTAGCACTGCTGCCTCACAGCACCAGGGATCCGGGTTCGATTCCAACCTTGGGTGACTGTCTGTGTGGAGTTTGCACATTCTCCCCGTGTCTGCATGGGTTTCCTCCAGGTGCTCTGGTTTCCTCCCACAGTCTAAAGATGTGCAGGTTAGGTGGATTGGCCACGTTAACTTGTCTGTAGCGTCTAGGGATGTGTAGGCTAGGTGGGTTAGCCATGGGAAATGTGAGGTTATGGGGATAGGGTAGGGGGCTGAGTTTGGATGGGATGCTCTTCGAGGATCGGTGCAGACTCAATGGACCAAACAGTTTCTTTTTGCCCTGTAGGGATTCAATGATCCTAATACCTGACAAAAAGATTGATGGGCTCGCTATCCTTTGTGGATGTAAAGCATCCTTTTTATAAAGTAACAGGTTGAGTCTGTAGGCTTTCAAAGATAGAAACTCACATTTAAAATCTTGTCTAGGAAATGTTTTGTCCTGATAAATTCAATTGTGGTAACAGTACGCAGTAAATTGCGAGAAACTCCCTTCAGTAGCTTAGAACCACAACCTTAAATCCACGTGAATTATTCCAAATCAGGTAGATTGGAATTATGAGCAGGTGTTAGGCCAGTTGGTCCTTTGATCTCCTACACTATTCAATAAGATAATGGCTGATCTGGTTGTGGTCAGAACTACACATTCCTGTTAGTACCCCGTAACTTTTGACTCCCTTGTCTGTCAAAAGTCTATCTATCCTGTGAAACACTTCACCATATTTTACTGTTAAAAACTCTATGTAAATGCAATTTGTGACATTATTTAAAATTTATTTAAATTTTAAAGAAAAGGCCGGACCATGCTGCATTTGCTGACACCAGTGCATGCTGTTGTGACTGTTTTAAACCACATGCACGTGCAAACGATTTCTGGGAGCTCACTAGCCAGGAGGAGAGTATGGCACCTAGACCTGGCAGGGGAATGAAGGAGGAAGGGGAGAGTGCAGGAGGAGGGGGAGAACATGTGTCTGATGCTGTGCTCTCCCTGATATCTCAACTCCTGGGCCCTCCTTGTAAACCAACCCCACCCCAGCATCTGAGCCCTCTTCACTCTGGGGGATTCCTAACCCCATTGACCTGCATCTCCTGTTCCCATCACTGAACACACAACACCAGAAATAGGACAGGAGTGGGCCATTAAGCCCCTCAAACCTGCACTGCCGCTCATTAGGTCATGGTTGATCCAACATTCCTCACGTCTACTTTTCCTGCATTTTCCCCATAACTCTTGATTTCCTAACTGATTAAGAATCTATCCGTCTCCGCGTTAACTATAAACAAGGTCTCTGCCCCCACAACTCTCTGTGGCAAGGAGTTCCAAAGACTGATAACCCTTTGAGAGAAGAAATTCCTCCTCCCCTCAGTTTTGAATTGGTGCTCCTTTGTTCTGATACTCTGATCCTAGACACTCCTGTGAGAGGAAGTGTCCTCTTAGCATTTAGCCTGTCAAGTCCCTTAAGAATCCTGTATATTCAATGAGATCACCTCTCATTCTTCTAAACTCCAATGAGAAGAGTCCCAACCTGTTTAACCTTGTTTATACTCCAATCCCTACACACCAGGAATCATCCAAGTGAACCTTCCTTGAACTGCATCCAATGAAGTATCTTTCCTGAAATACTCTTGTACCATTTCATAGCGTGGGTGTTTCCCTAGACAGTGCTGCATTTCTTTTTTATTTATTCATTCAAGGGATGAGGGCATCGCTGGCTAGGACAGCATTTATTGCCCATTCCTTATTACCCAGAGGGCAGTTAAGAATCAACCTCATTTCTGTGGGTCTGGAGTCACATGTAGGCCAGACCAGGTAAGGATGCCAGAGTTAGCAGGAACTGCAGATGCTGGAGAATCTGAGACAACAAGGTGCAGAGCTGGACGTGCAGAGCTGGACGAACACAGCAGGCCGAGCAGGAAGGCCTAGAAAGGTCTAGAACCGAAACGTCAGCTTTCCTGCTCCTCTGATGCTGCTTGGCCTGCTGTGTTCGTCCAGCTCTGCACCTTGTTATCTTGGGTAAGGATGGCAGTTTCCTTCCCTAAAGGACATTAGTGAACCAGATGAGTTTTTCCTGACAATTGACAATGGATTCACGGTCATCATTAGATTGTTAATTCCAGATTTTCATTGAATTCAAATTCCACCATCTGCCATGGTGGGATTTGAACCTGGTCCCCAGAACATTATCTGGGTCTCTGGATTAACAGTCCAGTGATAACACCACTAGGCCTTCGCCTCCCCATTTGCGTATGCCATCACACAGAAACGGTATGTGATAATGTGTTTTATTTGGATCCATTTGCATTTGTATTCCCATGTGTAGTTGGAAGTGCCAGCAAACACTGCCACCTGATAATGGCTCCTAATATACAAAACATGCAGGCATTTTATTTAAAGTCGAGAGTAGTCACCTCCTTTTTTGTAATGTTAATTGATTGATTTTTGATTTGCAGATTGCTTGCCTTGGAATAACCACAAATGAAAGGATGAATGCAAGACGCTACAAGCACTTTAAAGTTACAACAACCACTATTGAAAGTCCCTTCAAGTGAGTAACTGTGTGAATACTGACACTGCATTTCAGGTATATTGAATCGAAATTTTGACAGCTCTTCAGTGAACAAATTTGTCAGTTAAAGGTCTTATTAGTTTATGCTCCTTTTCAAATCAATATTTTAAAAATAATTTACCACTGTCAATCCTGGGAGATGACAGCTGAACAGTCTGGGGATCTAGAAAAAAGGAAAATGAGAAGTGACCCAGCAGAATTCTTTAAAATTATGGAAGAGTTAATTGGGAAGACAGTTTCGCTTGTGGAAGAGCCTAAAGCTTGGGAATCATCAGTAAAAGACAGTCACTAATAAGTTCACTTGGGAATTCAGGAGAAACCTCTTTACCCAAAGAATGTGGACATTGCTGCAACAGGGAGTGGTTCACGTGAATCATGTCAGTACATTTAAGAGGAAACAGGATAAACATTTGAAAGTGAAACAAGTAAAGAGAGATGCTAATGGGTTGGAATGAATCATAGAATCCTAGAATCTCTACAGTGTGGAAACAGGCCCTTCGGCTCAACAAGTCCACACCGAACTTCACAGCATCCCACCCAGGCCCATCCCCCTATAACCCACCTAACCTACACCTCCCTGAACACTCTGGGTAATTTAGCATGGCCAATCCACCTAACCTGCACATCTTTGGACTGTGGGAGGAAACCGGAGCACCCGGAGAAAACCCACACAGACACGGGGAGAATGTGCAAACTCCACACAGACAGTCACCTGAGGCTGGAATCGAACCCGGGTCCCTGGTGCTGTGAGGCAGCAGTGCTAACCACCGTGCCACCGTGCAGCCGTGAAGAGGGGAAGGAGGAGGCTTGAGGACAAATCTGCCATAATTCATAAGTAACTTTGATGCATTAAGATGATTGACTTTTTTTCCCTGTTTCTTTGTTCCAACAGCCATGGTTGCATTAGGAATATCATAGACTTCTTTGAATTTAGATGTTTTGGCCTATTTCGCCCTGTGATGGTGGACTGGACACATCAGTATACAATAGACTATGACCAGACATCAGGGAGCGGCTATCAGCTGGTGTAGTGGGTCCCATACCCACAGGCTGGATTGATTCACCATCAACCCTTCGAACTGGTGCCTGACACATTTCCTTCAGTTCCTTCTCTAAAATCCACAATGCAATGTGTTGCTGAGGGGGAGGTGACAACCTGTGGTTTTTACATCCTGATCCGTCACATTCAAACATCAAACAGGGACAGTTTTGCTGCCTGTTTCTTTTCCCCATTGTGATCAAACTGTGGTAGAAGTGGACGGCCAAAAGGGACCCCTTATTCAAAAGAAATACAGACTGCTTTTCACAGGAATTCGTTTTTGACATAACATTGTGTGGCTCTGATTTCTGTGTCAGAGGAACAATCAGGTATGAATTATGGAACCCCGATTCTGTCCCATTCGCTCAAGAAAATGAGTTCAAAATTTGTCGTACTCATCAGGAACGTGTAGAAATGCATCTGTTTTGATTGAGCTGCTTGTTACGCATTAAACACTATTTACATGGTACTTTCAGTTGCGTTGTGGAATGCCAGAAATCCATTAATCAAGATCGTGTGCAACGATAACATTTAAAATTGGTTTGTATCAGTGGTTCATTTACTCAAAATACTTACTGTCTTTTAATCATGATTTTAAGGAATGAATCACTGTCTAATTGGCATTTATGGACAATTAGATATTAATAATCATTGACAAGAAAGTCATGAGTATGCAGGCCAGTGCTGTCTGTCTCACTCTCATGGCCTGTAATTAGTTGGGTTTGCACAATTATAAAGCAGGCTGCTTGGCAATGAGTGTCAGAAATGTTTATTTTGATGGCGTTTGAGAGGGACTGAGGGAAAGAGGAAAAAATTTGCATCATCCATCTCTTGTCACTCAGAAAGCAAGTTCTTCAGAGTGTTCAAGGGATCTGCTGAACCAGCCATGGAAAGAGACAGGTGTTTTGTCAGCCTTCCTGCCTAAACGGCTCAGGATGATGAGTGGCTCATGCAGAGAAGGCAACTGGAGAGAAAAACCACATTGTTGGGAAGAAAAGAACTCAAGTCCAATTATTACAATCCATTTTTTATAGCCTTTTGCTTTTAGTCACAATTGTCCATCTACTGCTTTCTGCAAACTAACGTTTACAGACATTTGAAAGTTTGGTCAAGTAACAAACTCAAGAAACCTGTGCAAAATGCAACTTAAATTAGCTCCTGGAGCCAGTGTAAAGATTGGTTGTATCTGTATATAAATTATTTATCAACTAGTTTTATTGTGTGTATTTTGTCAGTGTTAGTTTGGAACTATGAACTTAAAATTTTCAACTCCATCAGAAAAAAGAAGTGTAGGAATGTAGTTCATTTGCTTCCTGGTGGTGCTGTTGCTGTTCAGAACTAATCAACCATTGGATTCACTGCATGTCTGATGCTTGGCAAAAAAAAAACTTTTAAAAAAAAAGGCAGCTCCCTCGATTGTAGGACATAAAACATTGCAACAATTAACAATAAAGTGTTATTTCAACATCTTCCCCTTAGTGGGAAGATCAGTCAATTTGTAAATAGTCAGTGTCCTGTGTTTGCAAAGTCCAAGAACTTTCAGTAGCTGTTTATCTCATAGTGGAGCCCACACATAGTTTGTAAGCATTGTACCAGATATCATGACTTGCAGTATTGTAATATTAGTCAACTTGAATGTTTATCACCTTTTAAAAAAAGCAAGAGTACTTTTTCTCTGTCATTAATTGGAGCATATTGCAAGTTTATGCTCACATGGGATATAATATCACATTGTCTAGGCTCTCTGAGAAGCAGGACACACTCTGTTTGACTAGCTTCAATTAGAATGAGGACCAAGCAGGGATTAAAAATAGTCCAGGGTGAGATGCTACTGATTTCAGTTCCGCCAGCTCCAAAGGAGAGTTTCACCCCCTTTTAAAGTTTAAAACACTGGTATTTATCTGATTTTTTCTTTGTACTATGAATTTTGAATAACCTGTTATTCACCCTCACTTTAAATTCTGCAGTCACTACTCAGGCCAGTTTTTTTTTGTTGTGTGTGTATCAGCATCTCATACTCGCAATTAGTAAGAGTTTTACACTTCACTAATACTTGGGCGACACTATATCCTGCAAATTGTGAATGTTTTGTTTTTGTATGACATTATTTATAACTGTGCCAAGTGTTTTGTTTTGCTATTATCCAGACCCTTTATGTACAATGTGGAGAACAAAATATATGACTGTAATATTAAAGCTGGCTGTTCTTCCAATGGTGGGATTGGGTTGTCAAATTTTGTAAATTATTGAACTAATAAATCAGCTGCATCCAGTCATTCATTGCTATCAAATATGACCTGCTGCTGCAAGGTTTTTTTCTGTGTGATTGCAGTCGGTTGCTGTTGACATCCATTGTGATTCCTTTTTAACCAGCTGCTCCTTTATAAATTGCCTGTAATTATTGGACCTAGTCAAGAATTCTTTTGCAAATTTTTAACTTATTTTTGCATGCTTTCAACATTTATCTGCGACTTTAGTTGGAACCTCTCTCCCACTTTGATCCAAACAACTTGAGCACAAGGGGTCTCTTATGTGGCAAGGACAAGGACTCCATCGGGTCCAGTGACCACTCTCACTAAAAGGCCATCTCCCTTAATCAAAACTACCCAGCTAGATTGCTGTGGAAGAAAGCTCCCAACGTTTGATTATATGTAATATGAAGTCCCACTGAGAGATCTACCAGGTGAAACTGATCAAGCCAAAATTGTATCATCTGGACTGACAAACTTGAGCAGTGACCCACCCACCAAACAAACAGCACAAACCCCATCATTTAACCATGCCCCACTCGAGCTGGATTCTCATCCATTCGGACCTCTGCAGAGTTCCTTGTGGAGCTTACTAGCTCAGTCGATGCACATCGTTTGAAGCTAAGGAAAGTTGAAGACCGAGCGGATCATCCAGGAGGTAAGTAATTTTTTTGTGAATTATGGTGATAGTGATTGTTATTTGTACCACCAAGCATAGACCCTTCCCCCTTCCCCCTCACCTGCACACCCCTCCCATTATACTTTTCTCTGTCCAAACCTTGTACCTTCACTGTGACAGTCTTCATTAGTCTTATGGATTCTCTGTGTTGCTGTTAACATTCTGCTTCCTCTGTTGCTGCTTTTCAAAATCCTAAGACCCTGTCCACTTTACCTTCATTCTAAACTTTTTCCTCCTGCAATAGGGTTAGGAACGAGTTCGTTATTGTCATTGTCCTTAGTCTAACTCTTCATGAGCTCTGCTAAGATTTGTCCTTCCCATTGCTAAAAGGAGACTAGGAGTTGAAGCTTTTTGATTGGTTAGGACTTTCTGAGTAATCTGCACAAGAAAATGTTGACTCAAAAAGAGAGTTTGTCATTAATACCATAAGTACAGCACTGAGAGGAGACCATTTTGGAAAATATAATATTTTTTAGGGACTTGACAGGACAGATGTGGAAAGGTTGTTTCCCCTGTGGGAGAGTTTAGTACAAAGAGGGAATAATTTCAGAATAAGTGACTGCCTATTTAAGACACAGATGAGAAGGAATTCCTTTTCTCAGAAGGTAGTGAATTTGTGGAATTTACTGCAGAGGGTTTTCATGGCTGGGGCATTAGGTACTGGCAAGGCTGAGATTCAAAGGTTATGAGGAAAAGGCCGGAAAATAAAATTGAAGATTATCAGATCAGCCATGATCTCACTGACTGATAGAGCAGACTCTCAGTGAAACCAAATGGCCCACTTCTGCTCCTACATCTTATGGTCTTATTGCTGTGGGACAGAGGCTCTCTCACCCTTGTCTCTGAGTCAGAAGATTGTGGGTTCCAAATCCTACTCATCGGGCATGAGCTCAAACCCAGAGGGCCACAGTGTTACAGGGTCAGTTCCAATGAAACGCTGCACTGTCAGAGAGTCACTACTGAGAGAGCGGGCGCCATCAGAGGATCATTACCGACGGAGCGAGCACCATCGGAGGGTCATTACCGAGGGAGCGGACACTGTCGGAGAGACAGTATCAAGTGAACGGGCACCTTCAAAGTGTCAGTAGCAAGGGAGCATGTGTCGTCAGAGGATCATTACCGAAGGAGCGAGCACCGTCGGAGGGCCATTACCGCGGGAGCGGGCACCGTCGGAGGGCCATTACCAAGGGAGCGGGCACCGTCGGAGGGTCATTACTGAGGGAGCGAGCACTGTCGGAGGGTCATTACTGAGGGACCGGGCACTGTCAGAGGGTCAGTATCAAGTGAACGGGCACCTTTAAAGTGTCAGTAGTAAGAGAGCATGCGTCGTCAGAGGATCATTACCGAGGGAGCAAGCACCATCGGAGTGTCATTACCGAGGGAGCGGGCGCTGTCGGAGGGCCGTTACCGAGGGAGCAGGCACTGTCGGAGGGCCATTACCAAGGGAGCACCACACTCAGTTGCTCAGTACTGAGGGAGTACCACACTGTCAGATGAGCCATCTTTCAGATAAAGCATTAAACAATGCCCTGTTTGCCCTTTCAGTTAGTTGTGGAATGTCTCACATCAATCTTGGGAAAAGGACAGTGGAGGCCTTCAGCCTATTACAAACCTTCCTTTAGTCTTTCCACTTTCAGTCCCTCTGAGCCCCTCATTTTTCTATCTTTCTTCCATTCTGAAGAATGTCCTTGACCAAAAATGTTAACTCTTGTTTCTCTCCCTGCAGACATTTCCAGACCTGCTGGGTATTTCCAACATTTTCTAATTTTATTTCAGGTTTCCAGCACATGTAGTATTTTGTTATCGGATTGCTATTTGTGGGAGCTTGCTGTGCGAAAATTGCCTTCCTTGTATCTTTCAAGTGTGTCCATTCTTCTAAAGTACGTTATTGGCTGCAAGGTGTTTTGGGACCTTTCTCAGTTTCTCATGTGAAAATTCCCTGTTTTTCTTACTTTGTCAGGAACATAAAGTAGAGGAGTTTGCTACTGGTAATATATTGAGAATCTATTGGAATATCGAGGTGTTAAGGGCTATAGAGAACTGGCACTGGGCACAGCAGCCATGATCTTGATGAATGGTGAGGTAGCCTTGATGGGTTGAATGGCCTGCTTCTCGTAATGGTCTTCTAATAGAATCCATGATGATCATTTAGACCTTATGATCCTTCAGCGATTGATCGATGAAGGGCTGGGAGGAAATCCTTATTTGCAAATGTTTGAATCAAAAGATTTTCTAAGCAAGAAAAAATCGAAGAGAAAGAAAAGTTCAGTTCCAGCTATCAATTGCATCAAAATGATGAGTCAAGCTGTTTGGAAATTATAAAAACCGAAGACTCATGTCAAATTACATTTTTGTACTGTGTTAGTCCCAGGATTGGTTAACAGGGATTTTACACCTCTCTTGCAAAGTAATAAAATATGTTGGCCTCATTTAGATAACTATGCTTATTTTATTTAGTGGAATCTTGAAGCTTTTGACCAGCAGAGAAGAGAGCCAAAAGATTGCTTTCAGTTTTCAAACACATTGAAAACCAAACAAAGAGCCAGAGTTGTATACTTTGGAACAAAAACTAAGTTGCTGGAAAAGCTCAGCAGGTCTGGCAGCATCTGTGAAGGAGAAAACAGAGTTAACGTTTCAGGTCCGGTGACCCTTCCTCAGAACTAATGGTGGCTGGGAAAACGTCAGTTTATATGCAGAAAATAGGGAGGTGGGTGGGGTAGGGAGTAAACGACAGGATCGAGCCCAAAGAGAGAGAAAGACAGTTGGACAGACAAAGGAGTTGCTAACGATCAGGTTGGGAGGGCGAATAGTTGTTAATGGGGACTGTTAGTGACTAACAACAGGGGGTGTGTAATGGCAGGCTATGTGGTAACAAGGCCTGGTGTGTAGAGTAGGGGGCTGAGAAATGGGAGAGTTTTGGCCCTAAAATTATTGAACTCAATATTGAGTCCGGAGGGCTGTAGGGTCCCCAAGCGGAAAATGAGGTATTGCGTTGGGCTTCGCTGAAACACGGTAGCAAGCCGGAGACAGAGATGTTGGCCAGGGAGCAGGGTGGTGCATTGAAGTGGCAGGCAACAGGTAGTTCAGGGTCTTTTCTGCGAGCAGAACGTAGATGTTCTGCAAAGCGGTCACCACGTCTACGCTTCGTTTCCCCAATGTAGAGGAGACCACATTGTGAGCAGCAAATGCAGTAGACTAGATTCTGGGAAGTGCAGATGAAGTGTTGCTTCACCTGGAAGGTATGTTTGGGCCCTTGGATAGTGGGGAGGGAGGAGGTAAATGGGCAGATGTTGCACCTTCGCCGGTTACAGGGGAAGGTGCCGTAGGCTGTGGGGGGTATAGGGGGTGAAGGAAGTGTGGACCAGGGTGTCCTGGAGGGAACGGTCCCTGCGGAAGGCAGACAAGGGAGGGGAGGGGAATGGAATATGTGTCTGGTGGTGGCATCTCAGTGGAGGTGGCGAAAATGGCGTCTGATGATCTTCTAGATGTGGATGCTGGTGGGATGGTAGGTGAGGATAAGGGGAAACCTATCGCTGTTGTGGGAGGGCAGAGAAGGGGTGAGGGCAGAAGTGCGGGAGATGGGTGGGACCTGGTTGAGGGCCCTGTCGACAACAGAGCTGGGGAATCCTCGGTTGAGGAAGAAGGGGACATTTCGGAGGCTCCTTTGTCGAAGTTGGTCTCATCTGAGCATATGCAACGGAGATGGAGGAACTGAGAGAATGGGATGGAGTCTTTACAGGAAGCAGGGTATGAGGATGTATAGTCCAGGTAGCTGTGGGAGTCAGTAGGTTTACAGTGAATATTAGTGTCGCCAGCAATTGAAACAGAAATGTCGAGGAAGGGAAGAGAGGAGTCCGAGATAGACCAGGTTAAAGTGAGGGCAGGGTGGAAATTGGAGGCGAAATTGATGAATTTCCAATTCCAGACAAGAGAGGGAAGCAGCACTGATGATATCATTGATGTATCGGAGAAAGAGTTGTGGGTGGGAGCCGGAATAGGACTGGAAGAAGGAATGTTCCATGTACCCCATGTTCCACCTATCCCACCCACCTCCCTATTTTCTGCATATAAACTGACATTTTCCCAGCCACCATCAGTTCTGAGGAAGGGTCGCTGGACCCGAAACGTTAACTCTGTTTTCTCCTCCACAGATGCTGCCAGACCTGCTGAGCTTTTCCAGGAACTTTGTTTTTGTTCCTGATTTACAGAATCCGCAATACCTTCGGTTTTTATTTTGTATACTTTGGAGAAGTTTAGAGCTGAGCGAATTGATAGACAAGTGTGA